CGTTCCACCGCTTTCGATCCTGACACGAACTTTTTTTAGCAAGATTATATACAATCACAGTCTACACGTGCGCACATAAAATTCAGCTGATAAAACATGCAGACATGAAGATTTCTTCATCGTCGCCAATGATTTCTTCTGAGAAGTAGCCATCATGTATCATGGATATCTATAGCAGATATGATAGTCGTTTCATTTTATGCCGCTTACCTCCTTCCTCCTCCATACAGATTCTTGTAATAAGCTCCACGATTCGACATTTTCCGAAACGCAAATCTTGCAGTGAAAGTTAGGATTTTTAACATCACCCCGAGGTTACTGCACGAGGTGCGTTCTCATACATGAAGTACCTACCTTTCCACCTTACCCTATGAGACCGCTGTCTTCAGATGTAAATTTACTTGGGCTCACGTGTCTTGGCTTGGCTCTTCACCCAACCGTGTGACGCATGGCTACTTTTCGTATCTTTATGAACTATTCATTATTGTAGTTCTTTTTCTCAGATTTCCGCCTTACGGCAATCCGCGAGCTTTGATTTCAATTTACAACCACCAGATCATCAGCCTTTTTATAGCTATGCCGGAAACCCGGCCGGCTGCAAATACATGTATTTTTCCACCTGTTTGCAGGCTGAACCTTGGTTAAATCTCTAAAAACTGCTATGTTTCCAAGGATTACAATTAATTAGATTGACCTCTGTTCCTTACCCCCGAAAAAAACAAAAAGCAAAAAACCGAAGTTTGACAAAATTAGAAAACCAGATTTCTAAGAAAAGTCCGGGGTCCTGGCAAGCACAATACGGAAGAGACAAGATTTTTATTTCGTTAGCATTTTTTTGGCATTTTTCTTTTAACAAGGTCCATGATACTGAACGGAGCCTCGGTGTCAAATTCTTACACCAATATATCTTTTCGGTTGTTACCTTTTACAGCCCCGACCCCTCCCATATCAGCTGGTAACTGACATTTGGAGTAAGCCATTACTCAAACAAACTATTCAGTGGCCATATCCATATTTAATACAGGTTTATCAGGTAATATTTTTCCTCGCCTTTCCCACGAAGAATTTTTATGGTTCAAAGAAGGCTACCACTAACGAAAGGAAATCAAAACTAGAAATTCCAAGGTATGTCGTTTACAATGATTTAGTGGAATTTAGTTTTTCAACGAGAGAATATCAGTTCAGTCAGTTCCCCGTTTGGTTCTTTGCATACCCGAACTAGTTCCATACGGTGAAATGGACTGATAGAAACAAAACTCTCTGAACACAACTTTGCAGATCTGGTCTCGGGTTGAAAGCAATTGGGACCAATTCAATCGGAAAAGAGTTGGGGTCTTGTGTTGTCAAGTGCAGTTCAAACTTCTTGAGTTATAGGTCAATTTCCTTTTTTGGCCAAAATGCGTGAACTGACTTACTTAAAGAAACGATTAGCTTTGCGCCTGACAAATTAAAGACAATTAGAAGAAACTAAACCGAGTCAGATTCTTAATCAAGCTGACTGAATCCAATTTCAAAAATAGAAAAATAGACCAAATGAACTGATGTCTAAATTTATGAAAAGGGTGTTAAAGAAATTTCCCTGGTGAAAGCGATTTTTTCTATCCAAAACACACGCTATAAAACTTCAAAGGAATTTCAGTTTCTCTCGCTTTCTCATCTTCTTGGAGTGATTTGTACGCCTTTAGGAGTCGTGAATTCCGAGTGTGTACCTTACTTGGCGCAGAAAAAGGCACTTTCCTTTAGTTAACCACCTTTTCAAAAACCCTAGCAAATTAACAAATTGACGTCAGTTTTTCATGCGGCTGTCCTGTTATTGATCATGAATTTCGTCATAACATTGTCCAAATAGCTGTGGATCCACGCCCCACTTCAGCTAACTCTGGATCTTGCCTGGAAACATAAATTATCCTAACTAAGAATTTGGTGTTACATTCAAAATTTTCTCATGTAACTCAAGTTTCTCTGTTTGAATCACGTTTGTGAAGGAAGACAAAATTTATTTTCATTTTTATTTATGGTTCTTGTTTAGCATAACTGAAGCATTATGGGAGTGTTCATACTCCTAATGTTTCAGTTGACCATCATATGCTTCCCGTCATCCTTTGCGGAGGAATACAAGTTCTGTGATGCAAAACCGCTGGGAAAATACTGCCTGCCCGACAACTCAGGATGGCGAGAATGTTTGATTGATGCTTTAGATGAGCCCGCCGAAGAGCTACATCACTGCCCAGCAGGCCTCAAGTATGGTTTGTTGAATAATTCGCTGAGTGGATGTTCAATTATATGTAATTATTTGCCCGCACCACATGGCTGCGAAATAATTTATCGGGATAAAATCGGAGTAACGCAGAAACCGCGATCGGTCGACTTCAGGTACTTGGGGAAAACTGTGCACTAGCTAATTTTCGGAAATAGACTTTTGGGTTTTGAGTTCTGTTAGTAATTATAGCGCCAAGTAAGCTACATTCGTCGACGAATCATATTTCAAGAAAGATACCTAAACAAAGCGGCACAGTAAACCCAAAAAAACTACTCTGGAGTGCTGAATTTTGGGAATCTACAACGAGACTGAACGGAATTCCGCTATAAAATGATTATAATCGATAAACAAGATTGAAACTGTTACCTGTTTGCCGAGAGAGGATGAGGAGTAAAAGAGATGATCGCTTTACAGATCTTATTCTCAACATAATCCGTCTCAAGCTATTTTTAGGTCTATCCAGTTTCTGAAATCTCAGGAAGGAGTGGAAATAGCCATACCTGTGACTCGAATTGCCGGTTTTAATGTGACGTCATCGCTTTCCAAAATAAAAAATTGCCAATTCTTCAGAGGTTTTAGTTTGATCAGATATAAGAGCCTCTAAGAACATGACGTTTTACAATGTTTATGCTCGTGAGAGTTCTTAGTTTTGTTATAAAGCACCTTTGAATTTCCAAGTTTATGCTTTGCGTGACATTAATGGCGGCCTGACAAGGTTCTCGCGTAGGTCAAAAGAGGAGTTACCGCTCAAGTTTTTGCTAACTGTACAGTTCTTGCACTAGAAGAATTATAACCTTCAATGTGGAAGGAAGGGAAGGAAGGGCACCAACACGGCGTCTTCATACAAAGCTCTATAAATTTGGGTGAAACACTTTTCCAAATAACGTGCCAATGGAAACCCGCATAGACCTAGATCTTGGCAAGATCGTTTATATATCACTTATCTATCATATCCCAGATTTTTGACTTAATGTTTTGAATGGCTAGGATTTTTATTTTTGATTGCGTGACAGTGCGGCTTTACACGCATTCTCCACATCCTCCACGAAAACATCCACGCAACGCGCATGGTAATATTATAAGCAGTAGGACTGTGCGCTTTCTTGTACAGCTACAAAATATACTCTTTTCACGACGAAACACTGAAAACTTGTCATGTTTTTAGGTGTGTTTGTAGCGGAAAACTTGAACAAGGCTACTGTGTCACGCATGCGCGCAACCCGTGCGTCCGTTCCTCGACTGAACGCGTTCGCCCAGAGTTTCCACAGTCATACTTTGGCGTGATCTTTGTAACCGATGCGTTCTGCGACAAGGATGGCTGCGAAGGCCGCATCGTGGTGAGTGAGAAATACCGCGACAACAAGAAGGGTGGTAGATCACGGGAGGATCTTGTGATGGGGCTCACGCAGCACATGACGGTTATAATTATGCCTGAAGGATCAGAGTGGTCACAGGTAATGAAAACTCTCTTCTAAAAGTAATAATGTCACTCACTGAGATAACAAACATGAAAACACAGCAATGGACGCTCTACTTTATTTTCAATTATTTTCAGCGCAACTCAACTCGACTCGACTCGAAATCTCTCGGCTCGACCCTGCTCTGTTCTGCTCTGATCCACTCACGCTTGCAATGCACTTCACATCGTTCTAAACAAAGACCGACGCGACAGTATCATGAACTTATTGTCATTAACCGAGCTGGAGTCAGTTAAATCTTTATTAGATTTTGTTTAAAAAACAATGAACCTTTTCCTAGCTAACATTTAAATTGGTGCCTTTCTCTCCTCAGTACGCCATTGATTTAAAGGAAGGCACACCTGCCTGCAACAAAACCATGCTACCGGAATTCCGAGGCCTGACGAAGGTTCCCGAAAACTTCCGATTTAATGGTACTGTGGAAATTCTGGGCGTGGAATGTGAAGATTGGGTCTATGAAGCTAATAATCAAGGCAACTTCAGCGCAGTCAAGGATAAAGCCAAGAACGTCGGATTTAGTCAGACTGTCCGCGACAAAATCTTGACGCGCCTCACGGATAATTTAGGTTCTGGAGGTGTAGGGGCGGGGGGACAAATTGTCGAAGTTCACCACATCTACGTGGCCAAAATTAATGGTACCAACGTCCCCCTGAAGGTGGAATTTGCCATCGCGATCCCTAACCAGAAAATCTTCACTCACTACAAAGAATTCATGGTGGCTTACTACCCCAACAAGTCCATCAGCATCAGCAGCGAGTCCCGGATTTTTGATCTCCCGGATGTCTGCACGAATCAGGAGGAAGGGGAGGGTGGGGCGATTGACGACGTGCCGCTGGATATACAAACGGTAAAACGCCAGCGTCACCATCGACTGGAGGGAATGGGTTCGAGGGACGATGAGTTTGCGGAAACTAAGCGATTTTTTATGCCTTCATTGAAAAACGATGTGGCTGGACATTCTTCGGACATTTTGGAACATTACAGAGTTGCTGATCACGTGATGCAAGCCGTGCAAACTGACAGCAAATAATCACATACAATCATCTTTGAAAACAGCGTGACAAAAAGGATCGATTATATATAATAAAAGAGACAACGTTTCGTTGAAGTTAAGCCCTCTATTGTACTGTAGTACTAGTTACAACTCAACACAAAACTAAGTTCAAATGCTATTAGAATAACCCAATTTAAACCTTCACCGGCGTTTTCGGTTGAAGTGATTCACTACTGATCCCTAGATACTAAGGTTCAAATGCCTATTGGTAACGTATAGATTTAGCCAAGCTTAAGAGCGGAGCTCCCGAGAAGGGTTGTTCAAAGCCTGATTAAGCTAACCCCAGACAAGCGAGAATTTTAATTTGAGTTTTGTAACTTTGCGGTGACGTTTAATGCTTATATTGTTTGTCCTTCTGTTTTGAGTTTGAAAAATCTCAAACTACGCAAAACAAAAGCAGTGAAAAACATTTATATTTAGATTAACTTTTAATCCTGGGTTGGCGTTAACCGGCTTCCGAACAACCCGGCCCTGTATACAACAAGTTAAATGACATGATCTCGCGATCCAGTCGAAAACCAACACCTAGTCAGCGCTCAACTTCAAAAAAGCATGAGTTCTAAACTTGAGCCTACGATTTGGTCACGTAATAACTGTCAGCGGAAACCTTGTTTTAAAAGGTGTCAATTGACTATAACATGGATGTCCAGTCTCAAAGAAGTACGTAATAAACCAAGGTTGCATGTCTCTCTCAACCTATTAGCTGGAGTATGGCCGCCATCTTGCGCGACTCCATCAAGGTGGAAAAAGACCGCCCTACATATAAGCGCCCTAACTCCATCGTCTTTGTCGTCGTGCATACGCGCCCACGAGCAATGCCGCTAGTCATGATTACCATGAGAAAATCAATTTTTGGGTTTCCTTTTCTTTCCTATATGAGTATGGTGCTTTGCTCGACGGCCTTTCGGGCCGCCGGGCGGAGCTCCGCTATCAACTGTTTTCGATCAGTTGGGTTCAGCCGGCTACATTTTTCCTATTCGTTGAAATTTTTTCGCTAACAAAAGCTTGGCAGCTTCAGCAGCTCCTCGTCTACTTCGCCATTCAGAAAGGAAGTGATGTTCAAAACATAATGTCGTGAAGTCATACCCACGGGAGAGGGAGCGGGAATGTCGAAGGTCTCCATCATCACGGGCACAACGTAAAGTGCATCATAATCACCGCTGACCTCAGCGTATCGCTTTTGCTCCATATTTGTCTGGTTAGACAGGTAGTAGGAAGAAAAGGAGGTTGGTTGTCCTGCATTGTGTCCCCCAGTCTTCCATATCCATTGCTCGCACAGGCGATAGCCGATGCTGACCGTTCCGTTGTAGCTATAGTATGGACGAATTTGTGTTTCTGGGAATGCCTTTATTAACCACGTTTCGCATTTCTCCTTATCCCAGTCCACTGTGGTCTGTCGATAATTTGGGAAAGACGTTAAATGAAATTCTATGTGGTTCTGTATCTAAATCACTGTGGAAATTTAGTGGTGATGGATTCAGTTTTAACTCATAACGCAGAATTCTCGGCTTTATAATTACAAGAATAAAAAGGAATGCTAGTCGATATTTTACATATGTGAAAGGTACAACCTCCTCTGCCATTTTCCCCAAAATTCAAGGGAAAAAACCTAAGCTACGAGGTTGTGGGACTCGCCCGAAACTCAATATTAATTTGCGAGACCTTTTCAGAACAAAACATCTCATCAGTACTAAATTATTATGTTAGTTCTGCCTGACTTAAAGTGCAATACCCCTTAATCGGCCGCATGTTAACCAGGTCTCTAAATGATCGTGGCGGGCTTGAAACCTGCCCCTGAGAACTCTTCCACAGTTGTAAGGAAGTGAGAAAAGTTACTAACCTGATTAAAAACGCTCCCATTTACAGGAAGAACGAAAATGGATGACCAGAACTTGTCATACAAATCAACTCTCTTCTTGTGCTCGGCTAGCTTCAGAACCTCTCTGCCTGAGGAGTAAGTGTCGTGGCATCCCCCAGGCGAGCAGATCGTCTCCCTGGTGCTGAAGTACACAGTATATACAGTCGGGATGGTAGGTGGCAGCTCGTAGGGCTGGCAAGGGTCATCGAGTGAGTCTGGGCACGCGGGACCGTAAAAACAAGCACATCTGTACACGAGAGAAAAAACAGTCAGTCGTAATCAGGATTGAAATGACGAGCTATTGTAACGTAGAATTATGGAAAGCGTGTGGTATGGCCAGCGTAGATAGTACGTCGAGGTCTTATACCCTTGATTTCGTTCGCTGCGAAATAATTTTTGCCCCAAAGTAAACAACCAATAAGAGACACTACACAACTTTCTATAGAGCTATGTCGTCAGTAACGGATTTTTTTCGAGTCGGCTCTTTGACTTCAGGCTCGAGTGGGGAAAGTGTTGTGTGCGCGACAAGACCGTTGCTTACTCTGGGTACTGGTAGTGGGGATTATTTTTGGTGTTGATAACTAGACCTGACTTACCGGGTGTTGGCAGGACATGAGTAGATTTTGTCCACCATTTTGCCAGTCGACGATTCCACGAAACAGTCATGCCAACCGGACAGATCTCGCAAACAATACTTTCCCGGGGGACCCTCGTCACAAAACTCGTCTGGCTCTTCTGTTACATTCCCAAAAGAACAATGTAACAGGTAGAAGAAGAGAACGAAGGGCAAATGGAATTTCATTTTATGAGACATTCCCTGCAAGGTAGAGAAATAAATAGGATTATTATATACTCAACAAAATATCTTGTTTCTGATTGACCAATCGACGAATGCATAAATAGGTTATTGAGTGCAACGGAGGTATTAGCAGAGCTTCTGTGCGCCGATGGCACGCGAGCGGCGCCCCAGACCTTAGAAAATTTGGTAACCCGTTGACCTAAAAAAGTCTGGTTGTCACTTGACTGCCGTACATAGGTACGCAGCACGTGCGCGAGCTGCTCCTTTACAGGTTCATTTTCATGAAATCAAATCGAGTCATTTTCATATGAAAGGTTTTACACGAAGCCTCGTTTTGAAACAGGCACAAGCGAGCTCGCAAATGGCATATTGACAGCTGTCAAAACAAGGTTTGACTAGTATCAGGTGAGAGCATATTTATTTAAGCCAGGTTATTCCTCTGAGAGGGAAGGAGGGAGTATGCCGTACTTACAAAGGCAAAGTTTCCGCGCGAATTAACCCTTAATTAACGCGTTGTTGACTTTACTTCCGAGATATTCCTTGCACAATCTTCTC